GGTGGCCCAGGACGGGGGAGCCCAGCGGAGCGAAACCGGCATTTTATGATGGTTTTTGCTCAGTTGTTACCGCGCCCAAGCCCGAGGGGCAGCTCTGCGTTTTGCTGTGGTTAATCTCGTTTCTGGCTGTGAAGCGGGTCTCCCGGCCGCTGTGCATGGTTACATTTGACTGCATAAAATCCCTTAAGAAGCAGCTCCTGCAGAATAGTTCCTAAATCCGTTTTCTGTAAATGCATAATTGTAACTTCTCTTTGTTGTTTTTTTTTTTAGTTTGCTGTTGTCCCACATACAGTATAAATTATCATTTAAGTTGCTGACAATATCAACAACACCTTTTTAAGTAGTGTTTATTCCTGAGGATTTGAACATTTTTGCTTTTTGTCTTTTTGCTTTTAACAAGGCTAAGTCTATTCATATAATGGATACACACATCAGGAAAACGGCATGGTTGTTGGACAATGATCAGCTTTTGGAGAAAAATGGGTGAGGAAATTGTTACAGAAGCTTGTTGGGGCTTCATACATAGATATAAAATAAATTTTAGCTCATATAAACTATGTACTATGTCCCTTCAAAACATTTATCATATATTAAATGAATGTTTAAACAACTGGCAAAGTATAAAACAGTTTCTACAGAAAAAAAATTAAATGACTTTACGACAATACAGGAACATTATGGGTAATGAAGTAATCCCATAAAATTAATTGTCTTGTAGGGTGGCCACAAAATCCCATGTACAGGGTGATCCTCTACCATGGCAAGATTTTACTGCGTCTCATCTAGGACCAGATAATGGATTATTGGGAACACATACCAACAAGACACAAGATCTGCTGGTAGGCGAGTTTTCCTGCTAAATGGAGCAACTAGAACAGTGACACATACCCACTATAAATACAGAGTGAGAAATAAATAAGCTGATAGACAACTAATATGTTTCCTTACATATATTTGCATATACACAGACAATTTGATAGATATAATCACTGAAGTGATGCAACTACATGTAGTTGTTCTGCAGAGATAAATCAGTCTGTGAACAAATTAGGCAAAACAATAAATGTAGATCAGCTGTAGACCCTGCATTTTTCTTCAAAACAGCAGAAGGCTATATGTCCCTTCAAACTCTGAGTTACTTTTTGGAGATGCTTATTTCGTTTTCCTCTCTGGTAAATCACTGGGGTGTTTATTTTAATTCTTTTACTGAACTCTCCTATTTCTTGTCTTCCTTCCTGTCTTCTCCAAACTCAGTTCTCCTTCCCCTTCCTTTATCTCACAATCTGGGGATATTCTGGAAGCTTCTTTTCCTTTACATTCCACGTCCAACAGAGTATTCCAGTAGCTAAAATTATGTTGTTCTTGGACATGCACTGCCTACCAGCAACTGTCCTTAGGACATACATTTTTGTCACATTTGAACAGCACATTTAATTCCTCATGCTGCATGTGATTTTTTCTTATTTGATCCATAGAGAGGACAAATGAAGACAATACAATCTCAAATGATGCAAACCACAGAAGAATGGATAAGCAACTACAGTTTAGAATCCTTGCAATTAACATTAGAGTATCTGGTAAACAAGGGCAATATTATTTTGTAAGTACAACACTACCCTTGCTGCACTCAGTCCTAATTTGTGTGCACCTCTGATGTTAATTATGCACAGTGTTCCAGGAATTCAGGAGATGGTGTTGAAAGGATTGTGTTTACAGAGGAGACTGTTACTGATTTTGAGTCCAGACTTTCTGAGTAAGTATCAGTCTTGTTTACAGTTTTAATCTGTAACTGATTCTATATCCCCACTCCCCAGGACTGCAAGTCCTGCCTTAAATCTTAATTTGTTGTCTGTGGGAACTTCAGAGTACCTCAGCATTAAATCCTTTCTGCTGAGGTTTAGGGTAGGTGATAATTGTGTGTCACTACAGCTGAAGCTTGGGGTTCTTTTTAATGAAGATGCCTATTAACCAGGTGTTGAGAAAATAATTTCATTAATAGGTTCAATAAGCTGTAGAGTAACCATAATGTTTTTACTGGTCTTCACAATTCCTAGGAGTGCTGCCACTTCAGCATACCTCACTGTGTCTGTCTTTTATAAAAAAGAAGCAGCTTTTCTCTTTTGAAAAAGCAGAAAGGTTTTTCCCCTTTCAAATATTTGTTTAAACTTTTTGTTCGCCAAATTGTAAAAATCCTGTGCGTGGTTTTAAAAAGAAGTAGGTTAAAGTAAAACAGTCTTAGAGGCCAGCAAGCATTTTGTTTTACCTCAGGTTATACCTATTTTGGCATTAAGTTGTTGAAGGTTGTGCTGTAGTTAGTCTGGCACAACAATGAACGTGCTGCCTTTCAGTCACAATGTTATATTTCATAAGTGTCTTAAGCAATAGTGTAGTTTATATTAAATACATCTCCTGACAATAAACTGTGTGTGATGATCCAAACTCAGTAGTGCCTGAGCTGCTGTTGTTCACATATAGAGGTGGTGAGTATCCCTCTCCTGTTTCTGAACAGAATAAACCAGCAGCTGTTAGAAAACATATCTGATCAGTCAAACAGCTTTAGGGGAAGGGGAATTTAAATGGTTAACCCTGCAAGCACCAGTTGTGTAAGAGCACTGAAAACAGTATTTTTAAACACCTGTTTCTCAAAGATTTTGCATCTGTGAGAGAAAGGATGTGATGAAGAGAGGTGGTTGATTGTTGATTGTTACACTGAAGCACAATGCCAGGGAATGCCTTAGCTAAGTGTGTGCTATGCCTTTTGTCAGAGCAATTGAACTTTATCAGCAGAGAATTCAGTGGCTCTTGGAGGACAGCAGAAAGGTAACTTTAACTTTGCAATATATTTTTAGAGTGGAACTGTATATGAAATTAAAGAATAAATTAACTTTTGAATACTAGTGAGAAGTGACTTGCAGAAAGCTTATGCATTTTCCTTTTTTACTGTGAGTTCCACATCATGTGCAGCAATCTTGACAGTGGATTGGGTTTTTTGATCTTTCATTGGTATGCAGTTTTCTGCCTTCCAGATCTAGTATTTTTCTTTCTCTTAGCAGTTTTAATCATCAGGACCTCCCAGCACAACTTAAATGGGAGCAGACAATGCTGAGCATCCTCTGACTGGAGTGGAACTGTCTTGTGCCCTCTCTTGCCCAGCTGGTTATGCACTAACTTTGCCCAGTAGTGCTAATGCTCAGGATGTAACTCCCTCTCAAAGGGGAGAGAGAAGGAAGCAGCATTCCAAAATCTGGTTTCCACAAAGTTGCTTGGTTTGGCCTGAAGGAGATGCTACAGACAATGTTGTGTTTGATTTATCCTCTCAAACAATGAATAGGTTGTCTTGGGAAGGAGGTAATATGGTTCACTGGTAAGGATTAGCTGGGACCCAGTTACCTCTTTTGTTTCTTTCTCTTCTTCTTTTTTATCCCTTTTTTCCTTCTTTTTTATCCCTTTTTTCCTTCTTTTTTCCCTCCTTGACTTTGTCACTGTGTCATCTTTAGTCTAAAAGGTTTAAAATGAAAATAAATATCCAGTACATGATTTAAAAATGGTGTTGTACAGAATAAACCGTAAAATTATTAAAATTGAGATAAGCTAGAATTTACAATTACTTGTCTCTTGTAAGGTGTTTGGTATTATAAAAGGAACCAAAGTGGGACTTTTGATTGATGTGTCTCACATGAGTTATGGACCTGGACTACTGGATTTTCAGAAGGACCTTTTGGTAAGTAATAATAAAGTAAGTTCTGCCAATTCTAACATTATTGAAGTAGTATTATTAAATTTTCTCAGTTCTGTCAATGTTCTCAATGGGATAAACTTGCCTAACAGAAACAGTTAGAGGTAGAACCCAGTTGTACATAGAGCTGTTTATAATAAGGATGGTTTTCTTATGCCTTTACGTTTTGTCACAAGGCACATTTCACAATCTTGGTCAGAACCTTGGTGAATTAATCAGTTTCTGAATTCTTGGAAGAAAATTGTCCTTTATTATGCTCTTTATTTTTAGAAAACTTTTGTAGTAAGGAAGGAAGATATAATGTAGCTGGTTTACTGTCTAAATTTGACATTTGGTACGGTTTAATTTCCCATATTCTTGAACTATTTAACATCAATTTATATTATCTGCATCTTTCATTTGTATGTTTCAGATAAAACTCCTTCAAGAAAACTCAGTTTCTTTAATATTTGAACTATTGTTTAGCCCCATGCATGAACATGTACTAACCATTTTTAGTACTTGCTTGGTTGGTGGATATGTGCATTCTAGATCAGAGTTGTTTCATGTGCTCATCAGCTTTACAGAAAAACTGATACCAGTTCAACAAATATTCCTTGACTCCTGCCCCATTAACAAATCAGTTGGAATACCATAGATTTGCAGGTTTTGTCTCTGTACTCCTCAAATATTTGAATATGTGTGAGTTTTTCTTGAAAGCTTTTCTCAGTGGTAGCCGGAAATACTGCTGTCAAGTAATTTTTGGGAAATTACTATTCTTAATCTTTTACATAATAACCCTACTACTGGATAGTAATGCATTTTCAATTTTTTGTTCATTAGTGCTTAATAGATGAGCAGCTTTGTTATAAGGAGCAATTGTACTGCCTCTCATTCAGTGCAGAAATTTCACCGCTGTGGGAGAGCCCAAAAAACATCAATGTTCACGTGTAAGTAAGTTCATTTCTCCAAAAAATAAAGGTGTTTCAAACAAGGCCTGCATTTAATTAGAACAATCTCTTGTAGGCAATAGTGTTTTTCATCTTGTGCCTGTAGTGATTTTAAGAGGGGAGAAAAAGCAATGAGTTCAACATGCAGTCAGTGATTTCCAGCTGGTTGTTCATGTTTAAAGTATCTGAGCAGCTCCTGTGGTTTGTAGTAATTTTCATGATCTTCTTCTGTAGCACCTGCACATATTCTTTTTCTTTTTTCCCCCTCCTAGGCTACATGAAGTGAGACAGTGGATACAAGAGCTGGAGCCTGGTCAAGGCTGCAATTTGCTGAAAGCCTTTAAGCATGTCCTTACAATGAAAGAACTGAATTCCCTGGTTCTTATTGTAGGAAGCTGGTAAATTCATTCTCTCTCTTAACAACCAGCTTTAGCTTGGATACAGAATTGGGACAAGAAACCAGACTGGATAAAAAATAAATAGAAAATTTAAGATCCAGGTTTTATATGTTTTTAGTGCATACCATTGAATTCCTTTATTTGTTCCCTTTTTTACTATTTTTAAATCTTCTCTTTTCTGATATGAAGCTACATTTTTCTTTTGCAGATAGATTATCACAGTAATCTATTGAGAGTCTGCTAGCTCTAATTTTACATCAATAAAAGCCTTCAGCATCATTAAGGATGTCACTGAAAGGGCCCATGCCTCTGTGAAGATTAGAGGATAAGCTAGATTTTGCTGTAAAATAGCATTAAATGTTGAAGGATTGTCTTCTCTCTCTGATCTTAGTTGTGCTAATGGAAAACTTAAAATTTCTGATTAAATAAATGAAACCAGGCTGAGATTATATAAATTATGGACATAAATTCTGCAGTTCTTTTGTCATAATTTGAAAATTGCAGTATTGCAGTTGGGATTACAAGGAAAAGACTACAGTAGAGATTCTAGGAGTGTTACCCTACTCCTAGTTTATTAATTGTAAGTGAAGTTCTAAAGCACAAAGCAAAGTTTTCCTTTCGTTTGGGCCTTGGAAGACAGTGTTGAAAGGTTTTCTGTCATTGTTTGTCACAGGGGCCAAAGCCACAACTCCTAATTTTTATCTTCCAGGGCCAGCAGGGAATAATTCAGATAATTTCATCCACAAGCTGTTGTGAATTGGAGTAGAATCTTAGTGCTTTTGTTATCATTCAGGTTTTCAGGACAGAATTAAACCCTAGTAGTGGTACCTCAGTAATGGTTGAAAAAGGGAGAGGAGGTCAGTTTGTGCTAAATGCATAAATCATTCCCATGATTTATTATTTCTTTCCCACTGTTTTTTCTTCTCTGCCTTCTTCAATATGGCCTTTTTTTCCCCATTTAATTACTGCCATTGTTAATATCTCTTTTTCTTTACTTTTTGTATCAGCCCTGATCAGCCTTTTGAAATACTGTGTGATTATGCTCAGCAATGTTTGCTGGGGAGAAAACTGCAGATTCACACTGTTACATATGATTGCAGCAATCCTGCTTCTCTTGTAAGTAATTGTGTTAATTATTAACTTCCTTAAGTGTCCTGTCTTTTTTTTCCTATTCAACTGTAATGCCTTCTCTCATAAACTTGTGGGGGAGCTGACCTAGTCATTAGAGAGTTCTTGATTTAGTGTTATATTTTCTTTAGAACAGATTTGCACACATGAAAAAATCTGTTTGAAGCATCATCTTGTAACTTTACTGAATTAGTTTTTCAGCCTTATTAAAATAAGACTGGTAAGCAAATGATGGAAACATAATTACTTTGGTTTCTCACTACATGTACCTCAAAGATTCTTCTTCTATCTCTAACTGAGAATTGAATACCAACGACCCAAAAGAGACTACCAAATCAAAGTAACTCTTTTTCTTCTTGTTTATATTGTGTAGGCAGTTCTGAAGAATCTTGCAGAAGCTGTAGAAGGCCGTTATCATTGCTACTCTTCAAAGGGAGAGGTGGGTGACAGTTAGAGAGGCAAAGCATTTTCCTCTCTTTTTGATGATTCTTCCCTTTGAGGCAGTAGAATAATTATGATCTGAGTAGAAGTTGCTAGCAAGGCTTGGTACTGAAAGCCTCTGTCACAGAAGTGCTGAGGAAGTGGTCAATAAACCTGTGGTTAATTCTTTCTGCAACTGAAAATGTTCCTAAAAGCACAATAAATTCTGCAGATACTGTTTACTGACTTACAGCTGATGAAAGCAGTGGTTTATTGTAGCATGATTCAAAATAATAAAATAATATCTTGTTTATAAATTATTACTAATTTATATGCAGTACATTAAATACATTTACACTCAATTCTGCTATGCCAGGCAGTCTTGTATTGATGTGTGCACTTTAAAATAAGAAAGCTGGTGTGGGTTGGTGTTTGAATAGTAGTTAACTTATTTTTCCCCATTTGTTTTTATATTTGCAGTATTTTGATAGCAGTGATTTTCATTTGCTACTTCAGGAGTTCCTGAAGGCCAAGGACCTACTCAAAAGCATCAAACAGACTTTCCAAAGAGGACTTGGTGGCTCAATTAGTAGTAAAACAGCAGAGGTATCCTTTCATTTTCAGATATATGTTGAATAACCAAGGTCAGAAATGTTTAGGTTCACAATATGAAAAAAAATTTTATAAATAATCAGGCATTTTCAAAGTGTTTTGCTTGTTGTAATCACAGCACTTTAGTTTTAATTATGTCCACCATACTGGATACTTCAGACTGAGCATAAAAAAAATGATGCTGAAACTTGCAAGAGCTTTTCTTAAAATCCATTTCAGGTTTCTGCAGGATTTGCAAATACAGCACCTTCCAGCTTCTTCCCAAAGCCTCCGAAGCTCAAAGGACCATTAGTTATTCAAACACCAAGTGTCCTGGCCAAAACCTCAACAGACTGGTTAAAGACATATGGATTGAAAGGTAGCACAGAAGGAAAAACTTAACAAATATGAAATATGAATCTGAGTGTGTGTTCTATATAAAGTATTTGTTTCTTCCTATAGCCAAGAAGTTAAACCTTTATCAAGTTCTGGCTCCCAATGCTTTCTCTCCTGTGGTGGAGTTCATACCTATTCTTAAAAAAAGAATATCATCAACTCTGCATGAGGTAAGTTTTTTTCCTGTGTTTGTTTCTTTCTATTGCTACGTATTTCTAGTTAAAATCAGTGCTTTGTAAGTTAGTGAAATTCTACAGGCTTTAAAAGAAATGTGAATCATAGATTCAGATCAAATACTACTGCCATTCTTAAAAATGGTTATTATTTATCCTTCTAGAAAATCATGATGCAGTTTGAATGGCATGATGGAACTGTGAAAAATATCCATGTTGACCTGCCAGTATTATACAACTACCAGGTGAGTTGTCTATCTCAGGGCTGGATTACCATCTAATTATTCCACATTAAGTGTCCTTTTCTATCTTGATATGCCCTCATATAATGCCTGCATATACTTGCAAAGGTCATTTTCTGTAGAGTTTAGACAAATTACCTTAATGTCTTTAATTTGATACTGTGTTAAAGAATGATACGTTTGAAAATACTGTGTTTCTTTTAAATGATGTGTTTTGTTATGTACACTGCCTAAAAATGCTGTTGAAGAAATGGTAAACTTGCAAAAGCTGTATTTTTTAAGCTTCTTTTTTTCTTTTGCTAATATGCCTGACCACTATTTTGGGACGTGCTAGCAAGAGGAAAAGTGAAGAGGAGAGTTTAGACCTTTAGACTCTTTGTTGCTTTTTTATCACTGTATGTTTTTCTCATGGACTGTATTCTCTTATCGTTACTAAGAATGAAATACTGCTGTCAAAAAGAACAAAAATCTTTTTTTTTTCATTACTGTGCTGTCATGTTACTTCTGTGTTAATCATTTGATGATAAAAGACTTGAACTTTTTATTTTTACATAAATTTTCTGTATTTTATCCATAGAAACTCCTTACTAAAATGGTAAATATCTATGAGAAACGAATTGACTGGCTCTCCATTGCTAGCAGAAGAATATGGGGGAGTGTTTGTGAAAAGAGGTATTGTATTTGACAGCCCTTTTTTGTGAGATTTGAAGTCTTCATCTAGTTCTGTGTTTGAGGATAGTGCTTATTTACAGTGTGTCTGAGGCCTTCCCCAACCTCAGTTGCACAGTTGCTCTTTTTTTCTAAAATCTCACCTTATCTTTTGCAGAATTAAATTCAGTGTTTATACATTTTGATACTTTTCCCCTGGCAAGTTGGAGTGCAGTGAAGATAAAAACACATAATGAAATAAGATTTTTTTTCTTTTCTTATCCAGGGTGGTTATACTTGTTGATATATCAGTGACAAACTCTATGTACATCACCCATATCCAACATTCTCTGCGACTTTTACTTGAGGAACAAATGTCAAATAAGGATTACTTCAATATCATAGCGTGAGCAACTGCTGAAGATTCTTTTAAAATAATTGTAATGCATTGCCATGAAACAGGTCTGCTCAGAGACTGTAGTTACTAATGGACATATTTTAGATTTTTAATTGTATTTAATGGTTTTTAGTGAAGTAATTGCAAAACTAGCAATAGTTTGTCTTTATTGGGTGAGTGCATGGATCAGATGAACAGAGATCAGATTAGTAATTAAAAATCACTGGTTTGGGTGTGGCTCACTGGAACTGATTGCATCATCCCTGCAATCCAATACTCATCCTGCTATACTGTTCATAGCAGTATTAATACCCCAAATGAGATTTTTCTTTTGCAGTGAATTTATTCTTTCTTTTTGCTTGTTCTAAACCATAATCTGCAAATTAATTGCTGTTATCTTTCCATGTAAGATTTGGGAGTGACATTGTGCCTTGGCAGCAGGAACTGCTTCCTTCCCATCCAGAAAACTTAGAAAAGGCTTGGAGGTAGGATCAAATAATTATCCCATGTGTGTGAGTTCGGTGATCACAGGTCTTGTGAAACAGATGGAACAAAGAACAATGTGAACAATTAAAAATATTTATACATTTATCATATTACAAAAATAGGTTGCCATGTTCTGCACTGATTGTTCATGATGGGTTGTTGTAAAGACACCATTATAAAGTTTAATATGTCTTAATGACTTTGTATTTCGTATATGTACACAATATATATGTACACAGATAGAGAAATGTCTGTGTAAGAAATGCACAGGTTACATTAGGAGTTGAAGACTGCTTCAAATACAACTGAAATGTGAAACCTGAACTATGTTTTTTCCCCATATACTTTGGAAGTAAATCCCAGGTTTCTTTTTGTGGAGTGACACCCAGAGTGTTTTCATTATATATCAGGTTTCATTTTTATTTCTGTAAGTTCTAGTATGCTAACATTTTTCCATATAAAATTAAGAGATAATTGTTTCCTTTTCATGCTCTGTATCTTACCTTAAAAACTGGTTTTCTATGGTGGCAGTACATAAACTAGAACAAATAATTTGGGCCAATATATAATTTGGTTTTGCACGCTGTCATTCTCAAAACTTTTAGACTCCAGTGCAGTGTTATTTCAGATTCTTAGCTCTCTTTATTGCTTTAAGGAGAAACAAAAGCTTTTGTTTCTTCATTCTTTGAACTGTAAACATCTTTTTTTAGATGGGTGTTGAACTTGCAGTGCAAGGGCAGTAGAAATTTCATGAGTGCACTCAGGAGAGCTGTAGAAGTCGACTTCAAAGACAAAGAGAAACACAAATCACAAGGACTTTACCTGCTGACTACTGGAATACCTGATCAGGAAACAGTAAGTATCATCATAGGCAACTCTTCTGTAAGTTCCTATCAGAATTAGTCTCAACTCTGGTTTTCTCTCTTTTTTCCCCTTTTTTTCTTTTCCTTTTGCTAGTCATCACAGTTCATTGGCAGAATACTCCTCCTTTACATCCCTAGGGCAGCCCAAACTTCCATCTCTGCAATTGCTGTTCATGTGTTGGAGGCAGCAATTATTAATAATGTGCCATTCATGGAAAATTCAAACTTTGCTTTTAGGACTCCCTCCCCCTCCAGCTCTGGCCATCATTTCCGTGGACATTCCTGAGTTTGAACAACTCTGATTTTTTTGTGTGGTACCATTTCCTCATAACTCAGGGGAACAAAGACACAAGTAATTGTCCAGTGAAACTCCATAGTACCCTGTGCAGAGACAGCTCCTGTTTTTAACCACAGTAATCCCTTGCTTGGACACATGTTCATAGTTCATGTGCTCTAGGGCTGTTAAACCATGTGCACAGCCCAGAGTTCCTCACCATGAGTGTACAGTGAGGTGTCTCTTCTCTGGAAATTCTGTGCAAACCTAAGAAATCATCAGACTGGGAGGATTTGTATATCATTTATAAGTGTCAGGAACCAGTGGAGTAGACAGAAGCTTGTCTGAGGTAGGGGGTCACTACTGATGGGTTTTTTTTCTCTGTCTTACAGCACACCATCAGTGCTTATGTGGCTGAGGTTTGCAGAGGTTTTGATTTACAGCTTCATGTCTGTCTGTTCAGTGCCATGGAGGACATTGGCTCCAGTGGGGTTATCCCAGCCCGCTATGCCAGCCCTGCAGAAACTGCCAGTGCTTTTAGAGAAATAGTGCAGGCAGCCAGGGGCAGATTCCACTGGTTTGGAGAAGCAGGTATGTGAGCAGGGAGGTCAACACATACTTCTTTTTCATTAATTAAATAATATGTATTAATGCTTTTTTTACTCCCAGATCAGGTAGTTGGCTTTTTTTAGGTTATGCCAATGCTCTACTAGCACTGAGATATAAACTCAAGTTGTGGTTTTATTGAGACTTTCAGTTGCATTGCAGAATATTATAATGCAGCCTTAACACAGCAATTTGGTATTTTCTATTTGAATTCACCATTTTCTGTTAGTTTTTTTAAAAATGAGCATTTAAAATATAGTAATATATATATTACTATATATATAATATATAAAATATTATAAATGTATATATATTATATATAATATACTACTAACATGATAGGTTCAGACAGTGAGGGTTGCAGGAAACAGGTTTTGTGATTCTTTTCTCTGATATTTGGCATATCTACAAATTGTTGTACATTTACAAAAATACATGTTTTGTACACTCTAAAAAACCCTAATTAGTGTCTATTTGATTATCAGGTATTTTTGAAAGTGATGATATTACTAGTATTGTGTCGGAAATGGAAAAAGCAAAAAACTACTCCCAAAAGGTATGAATTATATGTAACTTTTTAAATTATGTATTTCTTCCTAAAAAAAAATTCAGTGGTGTTTGTTCAGCTGTCAGTGGAGGAGATTGGACAAAATGAAAATCCTTGCAAGGGCAGGAATGTTCTGGAGTATTAGAACAGTCACCAAAGGGTGTAAATATGGACTAGGAAGCAGTTGTACAATAGCACTGCAGTGACTGGTGTTGGAGTAGCCACGATTCCTTATCAAATGCATGGATTTTACAGTTGAAATGATTCTCCTTTTTTTTACTAATCCTGTGATGAATGTTTCTGAAATAGAATTACTTGTACCTTTTAATTATATATATGAATAAATAGATCTAAAATTTATATGTGTTATATAACAAACATAATATTATGATCTTAAAAGTCACAGTGGAGGGAGAGTTGTCACTGGCACAATACCTTTGTTCAATTCTAAAACAGTTGTTTTCTGAAGTGTACCAAGGGTGTAGCATTAGACCATATCTCTCCATATACATTCACATGACTTTTTTCCAAAGATATTTAACAAAATAACTGAGGCAGTATAGCCAGCCTGGCACTACAGTGGTTGTTTCTTATAAAAGTGTGATTAGGAAGAGTTATGCAGTAAGATACATGTCCAGAGAGCTGAGCACTTTGTTGGATGCAAGTCTGAGTCACAAAGGTTTTTGGTCTTGTTAAGGAAGAGTCAGTGGATATTCAATGACATCTTAAAATATTTTAGTATCATTTAACAGATGCATATACTTGGTTCACCATCTTCCAATTTGTTCTAGCCTTGGTATGCATACTGTTGCCTTTTCTTTTGGAATGTTTACTCAGAGCAGGAAGGATTTCCATCCAGTGTGTTTGAGCAAGCACAACACAAAGGAGTGTTAGCTATTCAGTTAAGGGTTTTAAGCATTATCAGATTGATCAATTCAATATGAATTTTATTTATTATTACAGTAATAAATATAAAATACCTGTCTTTGAAATTTCATATACTTACATTTCACATATTTGAATTCCTAAACAAAGTGAACTTCCATTTCAGTGTGCATTCCTGGTGGAATCCTTGAAGCAACGTTCAGTAAATCAGTCTGTTAATCCATTTACACCAGAAGGAGATTCAAATGCACTTACAAAGAATGAGAAAAGAAGGCCACAGAAGTTGCCATCTCCTAAACCCACAGCTCCAAGCCCGGCTAGAATGGTTTGAAATGGTCCCATTGTTAATGTGCTGGGGTTTAATTAGAGATCCTTCCCAGATATTGGATGCTTCTCTTTGTGACAGAAGTGCTCAGCTGAATATTTGAGGGAATTAAAACAGCACTGTGATAGTACTCTGAATTTCCATTTGCATTCAAAATGCTACCTGTACCAAAAATTACATCTTACTGACTCCTGCTAAGTAATTAATTATAATGGAATCACAGAGTAAAGGTGTCTAAATAATCCCTGCTCTGATATTAAAAGCTTAATGGTTAATGAAAATATGGGCAAAGCAAAAATGTGCTTTACCAAATTACATCTGTTTTGCAAGTCCTTCTAGAAGGTACTGAATTTTATGGTGTTCTGCTCATTTACAGATGAGCTGCAGCTCAGTAGCACATCCAGCATAAAACAAGAGCAGGATTCAGGATTTGTTTCCTGCCCTTATTTCTGTGCTTATTTCTGTGGAGTTACACTGCTGAGTCCTTTGGGATTTTGCTTATGTTTTCTGTGTTGTTTTTGGCTGTGCACACATTTGGTTTGAGTGGGTGTACAAATCTGTGACAGAAAGGGACAGTGCCAGTGTTTACCATTTTGGTGTATAAATGAATAGATACAGAGCTTTCAGTTGCAGAGGATGTATTTAACCTCTCACCTGGAACTTTCAGCTCTCATGGGAACAGCATTGTAGGTGTGGGAATGCAGGGAATGGAAATGTAGGTGTGAGAATGTTGCAAAGACCTCGTAGGTGAGCTCACACAGGCCTTCCAGGCTGTTTTAGCAAAAGTGGCATATTCTCAACACCTCTTCACAAATGCAGGGAAAAAGTAATTACTCAGAGGTGACTACATAGCATAGTTTTGCAGGGGTTAAAATTGTAGAAAACTGGTACAGGGTTGTCTGTAGATGTTTGGGGATATTTATAGTAGTGCTGTATGTTTAATTAGATGTCACTTGATGGCTCAGTGTCACAGCGAAAGTCTTATCCTACAGGAGGGTTACACAAGTGCTGTGTTGTTTAGCAGAGTGCTCAGCCCCTGCAGGGATGAGCCATGCACCTAAAGAAGGAATTACTGGGGTCAGCACTAGATTTCCAATGTTCAGTAAAATGCTGAGGAAGACAGTCTACACTGTATTCTATAAAACAATGCCCTCACCATACTAGACTGCTCCTTCAAGTGGCAAAAGTGGTCCCAACTCCTCTGCCTGTAGATGTTGGTCTCCAGTTTTATGGCAGCAGATGATATCAACAAGATAATAAAAACAGAGCAATTAAAAGTTACTTCACCCAGCAAGAAACTACAAATTAACACATTGTCATGGCAGTCTGCTGACTTGTCAGAAAAGCCAGAGTAAAGCAGGAACTAGAGAACAGTGAAGGGTAGTTCCAGTTTTGAATAATGCAGTTATGATCCAACTGAAACATTTTTTACAATTATTTTTTTGATGTGCTTATAGGATGTTAAAGACAACCATGGTGCAGGCAGAAATACTCCTGTAAGAGTCCTGGCATGGCGTCCTCCTAGTGCCAAAGCAGAAATTCCACCAGGTCTGGATGGATTAGGGGCTTTTTCTCTTCAGTTTCTTTGGGGTTTTGCTTAAAAGACAGTATTTAGATATTTTATTTAAGCTTTTAGAAACACCTGAAGTTTTAATCTTTAATCAGACTGATAGAAAACATTGTGGTTGTTTTGTGTAGTGATTTTCAGCTCATATGATTGAGTACCCTTCCTGTATCAGGAAATGTCTGGTGTGTGTGGTGGAAAGTAGAACCCAGCTTTGTCCACACTTGAAACCAGAAGGCTCAGCAATTCAGAGGTTTATTATGTTATTAGTTTAATATATCCATTTACACTCATACTGTTAGATCCTATTGTCATTAATATGCTGTTTCACTTGATTTATTTATGATCTGGTAATGAAGGAAGATTACAACACAAATGTCAGGTTGTCTGAAGTGCTGACTCTTCCAACTGTTCCTGGTATATGAAAAACTCAATTGATTCCAGTTACTCTTGGTCCCTTAAAGTCCAATTCATTTCTCCTCCATTTTTTTGTAGTTTTCCTGTGTTTTTTAATTTGCATCTTTGCAAATTTAATTTGCAAATTTTTTTCTTTTTTTTTTTACATTAAATTTGAGTCTTCAAATCTACTGATTTATTGAAATTAGAATGTTGGTATGTAGCAGTGTTTACAAATCTGGATTCATATTTGCTCTGTACAAAGTTAATTGGTTTTTCCAATAAATATTACACTTATTCAGAGTCCTAATATTTTCAAATTAACTCCTGTGACATTCTTCCCGATGGTAATTTATACATTTGTACAAGTTTTAGTTCCATATCTATGAAAGCCACATAAGTAGTTCTGTAATAGGATTTTTCTTAACCAGTAGCTAAGAAAATGAAGTATTTATGATTGTGGTAATAGGAATATATGAAGTGAAGAACAGGGTTGCATGTAAGAGTTTTATCTAGCTGAAGTTAGTTAATTTTTTTTATTATTTCTTATTTATTTATAGCACAAACAGTAAAAGAATGGCCTCAGACTGAGAATAAAAGAAAGGATAAACCAAGGAAGCAGCCAGAGCTTTCTCTATCTGTATTTCACACTGATAAAGGAAGAAATGTGGGTATGTCTTACCAGGATAGGATGGGTGAAGCCCCTTTTCTTATCAGCATTTTGATTATAAAACTGTCAGGTTGTTAAGTCACTGATAACTACTGTGCTTTAAACAGTGAGTGGAAGTGAGTTTATCAAACAGGGGGAAAGATTTTTTGGTTTGAGTGGAGGTGGGTGGTTCTTTCTTTTTTTTTTCCTTTTTATTTTCTGTAAAGTCCTTTGGCATCTTCTGGTCAAAGGTGCTCTAAGTTAAAATGCTGTCATTGTGCTTTAGATCATTATAGAAAATTTGGGTTGGAATTTTTTGAAGGTGACAGTTTTTAAAAATAAGTGATTTTTTTTTTTAGGTACTTTGATATGTAGAAACTGTATGATTTTTTCAAACGTGGAATTGTGTATGAAATGTTAATCTGTGGGTTTGGGGGTTTGGTTTATTGGGGGTTTTGTCTGGTTGGACTTTGTTAATCAATGGTCATATGTGATTCAAAAGGGCTATATTTTAACCTAGAGCTCTCAATATTACTTGTTCATTTTCTTCAACAGGTACAGTAAACCAGAAATATCCAAAGACTATGTGCATAAGAAAGTCTGTTCCCCCTGTTACATTGCCAAAAGAAGAGGAAATCTGTTCAAGCAAAGAGGTAATTTTCTCCTCACTAATAAATTGCCATTTTGGAACTATCCATCTGAATTAATGAGAACATGTTGACTGTGATTTTGTACAATGTATTATTACTTAAAATTAAATTAATGTTTTCCAACAAGCAATTTTTCCATTGGTTTGTCTTACAAGTGGCTGAGCAAGTACAGTATAAAAAAGCTTGAATTGGAATTGCCCAGGCTGATGTTTGGTCCAGGCTGCACCCACCAAAACAAAACTGTGGAGTCTCTGCACAAGAAAGTATCAGCAAAATACTGTTCTATCTTCCCTAGTGCAGAAATCAATGTAAGTTTTTTCAGATGTCCTCTATCTACTTCATTGAAAGCCTTTGTATTTGTTTTAGACAGTGCATGTTGATCAGTGTTTGTGGCTTGCTGGTGTGATGTTCCCTCCACTCATCTCTGTTCTTCTTTCTAAATCATACTTGTAATAGAAAGCCAGAGAAGGTCTTTTATTCACCACAAAAGAAAACATTTAGGATGTTTGAAGTCCATGGGATCTTTAGGGTGTATCTCTTCTGCTCATATAGTATGAAAAATAATTTTAAAATTTTAAGTAAATCTTTTCAAAATCATGTGTAAGTTGAAACTGGGAAAATGTTAGATCTTGATTTTTTAGTTTGTGTAGGATTTTTTAGTTTGTGTAGTGACTGGAGAGAAGCATAGAAAGGATATTATTGCTCTATCACATCTGTAAACTCTCAGAAATAATGCAAGAGATGCATCTGTCCAGTCCAATTATATAATTGTGTTGCCCAGCACAGCTGGCTGAGATGAGAGCCAAGCTTCCCTAATTTGGGTGAACCAGTTACTTACCAGCAAGTCACAGAATTGTTTTCTTGCCCTATTTCCTGGAGGTAAAGACAAAAAAAAAATTGATCTCCCTGTTTTCTAATGCCAACATGGCATACATAGCAGCTGAGCTCAGATTTCCTGAAGCAAGATGTTCCTGTACAAAATGCATTTTTCCAGGGGGTTGTGAAACATCTGCAGTTTCAACCTAAAGAGCTGGAAATCTACACAGAACAGCTGGAGCGAGTGTTGCAGCGCTACCTCCAGAGGGTACAGTGGCTGCTCTCAGGTATTGCTGTGCAGCTGCTCGTCTGCAAAGCACAACTTAAATATACACCAAGTCTTCTGCTCTGCTGTTTCTGATAGAAACAAATCCAAAGCTCAAATATGAACAAAGGTTTATCTGTTTTGCGTTTCATGGAAATTTTAAAACTCGTTTTTATGGATACAAGAATACAGTGGAATTTTCCATCTGTGTAGCTCATAAACATTTAGTTTGCTGTGAAATAATTGGAGCTGTGATGTAAGTTTTTACTTTTTGGATGTTGTGTTCCTGAATACAGAACTAGAAGCTTTCTATCAACAAAATATATACGGTAACATATACAAGCTTTTAAATTAGCTTTTTTGTTTCTTTTGCTAAGAATGTGCCCTGTTTAGAAGTTCAGCATCACTGCTGGTGAAAAGCATTTTGATCTCTGTGTTGCTCATAAAGATCTTTGTTTAATTTTTTGCTGGATTGTGAAGTAGGAGCTACAAATTATTTAATGCAAGTTGCTACAGTTGCCTAGTAATTAATGCTTGATAGTGCTAGATTTGAAATGGCAGAAAACTTTTCTATTATTAATCTTTTAACTACCTAGTTACTGCATAGATTAATGATGTAGAAATGTGCCCAGAATAACCCCTAAAATGAAGATTTACAATATGGTCAATAAAATACACCTGTGTAATGACCCTTAATTAGTTTTCCTGTTCTGGCCCAGGAAGCCGAAGGTTGTTTGGTACCATTTTAGAAGCAAATGTCTGTGTTTTGATTGACACATCTGGTTCCACTGGCCCATATTTGCCACATGTCACAAAAGAACTCACCTCCCTTATCTGGGAACAGCTAAGAAGAAATGAGGTCAGGTATGTTGAGTTACTGATAAAGATTGAAATCTGCACTACCTATTATGTAATAATTGCTTGTTAATTATAAGCAATACAGTGCTGAAACACAATCCAAGTAATTGTTAAATGTTAGACTATAATATGCATGTGACATAACTGCTTTTTCTGTTCTTTTTAACCAGCTTTTAGTTCTGAGCTCTCTAAGATCTGAGCCTATGTTGTAGGCTGATGCTGTTCACTCTTTTGGGCTCAGCATTCCCATAGGTTTTCTGTTCATGCAGAGTGAGAGATGCTTTGGGATTCCTCCAAAGCTGAAGATTTAATCCAACACTAAGTTCTGGGGTGGGGGATTTGGTTGGGGTTTGTTTTTTTTCTGTTGGGTTTGTTTGTGGCTTTTTTAATTAATTTATTTATTTACTCCAAATCTACCTTATCCAAAGTGACTCATCATATTGGTGAGGGTTAAATGTTGTGGGTCATCTTTCTCCTCAGGTTTAACCTGCTGAGATTTGCAGAAAATACAGAGAGTTGGAAAGAGTGTCTTGTAGAGGCAACTGATGAATCATGTCATGATGCTGTGCAGTGGGTTTCCAAATTCCGTGCCCATGGTAACACGTGCATCCTCACAGCTTTACAGGTTAGTAAATTGGAGAAGACGTTGTGTCTTGTGGTGATAAAACACTTCCCCCTGACTGGTAACATTTTAGGAAAATGGTTAGGTCAAAGCATACAACATTTTTATATGCTCAAAATTATGTTTATGTACATCTGTGGCTGTGGTATGTTGCTCTGAGCCAAACAGGGTTTTTAAAGAAGCAGTTTGTTGGAATCTCATAGGCTTTGAGTGCAATTCTTGAACTTCAGTAGCAGGTGAAGAAACTTTTCTCCTATAAAAATGTTCAGTGTAGAAATTAAGTAGTACTAATAATTTAAAACAGATGCTGAAGGAACTCGCAATTCCACAAGATTTAAAATTTGAATCAAAAAAGAAGTGTTACCTTAAATGAATGGTTCTTCTTCCAGACACCCTTGCACAGTCTCCATATAAATTTTATGGAATTCATCATGAATCAAGTCCAGTAGAACTCTGAGGTGTGTCTGCAATACAAAAATGTCAATAACTGTAGCAGTTTTTCATAATATGAAAAGGTCAAATCCTAATGAGCCTGATTTTCAGACATTAAACATCTTTAACTCCTACGAAATGTGATGTGAAAAATCTTTTGTCAGCAGTTCTCCAAAACCAATTAATTTTCTTATTCCAATGAGTCAATTTTTAATGACTTCCTGCTTATAAATATGTTGTCTTTTGCTACAAATTATCTACTTTATTTTTCAAATGTATATCCTTGGTCTCTTTCATGATTAGTGAAAAGGAAAAGACAAAAGTAAGTCGATTAATGATGTGGTAAATATAAAACTATCTTAAATCATTGGAATTATGTTTTTCTTCTTAAATATAACTTTTCATATAAATGTACTAAGTATTTAAACTTATGTTTTGCTTTTCAGAAGGCTCTCAGTTTCCAAGGTGTAGAGGCACTGTATCTATTGACTGATGGAAAACCAGACACCAGTTGCAGTCTGATTTTGGAAGAAATTGAACGATTGAGAAAGGAACAAGATATTAAAATCCACACCATTTCTTTTAGCTGGGCAGACAGGTATATGATACTTTGCAAGAACAACAAAAAAAACTTTCCAAATTACTAGTTTATTTATTGTCAGAAATCTCTGTTACCAAGATGGGAACAGGGAAGGTTGTTCTGACACAGGTATTTGCCACATGACTTACGTTTCATACAGAAGTTTATAATCATGTCCTCCCAACTATTTTTAGATGTAATATTTTTTGAGGAGTTCTTAGAAATTCTTTTTCTATTGCTGTTGCTTTCAGAGAAATCAATTTTCATAAGCATCTTTCTACTTTGTTGTTAACAGAGGAGCTAATGAATTTCTGAAGAAACTTGCTTCCCAGACAGGAGGGCGCTACCATTGCTGCTTTGGAGATGAAGATGGACAATTAGCAGCACACAGAATATTGGCAGAGGGGCTTGAAGATGAAGATGTATGCTAAATGGATTGGTTTGGGTTGTTTCATTTCAACTTAGTTCTTCACCAGAAGTCAAACTGCATTTAAACCAGAAAAAAAAAAAAAGAGAGAGAGAGAAAAAATAACACAAGACTCCTAAGATACTTCACATTGAAACCAAAAGGAGGAATCTTAGTATTTGTCTTTGCCTTTCTTCTAACTGCCTTGGTCTGGTGCCCAGACCCAGGAAAGGAGTATACAATGCAATATAGGTTTTGAAAGAGAAGTAAAAAACATATCTTGGACCACTGTGGATTTTAAGCTAACTTTAGCTTTTACTGTGCTTTCTTATGCTTGCCATCTTGTATTTCATTTAAGTAATTGTAAAATCCTTCTAGAGTGTTTGGCACATTAATTCTCCAGCATGAGACCTCAGGGATTCCCACAGCAGAAAAATGTTAGTGAACAGAACCAAGTTCAATCTAGAATTGCTCTGCTCTCCCCTTGTAAGACCAAGACCTTCTCTGCAAGTAGGTAGGAGTAGGGAAATGTAGAACTTAGGCTCAGTTAACTAAGTTGGTAGAAACAGAAAATAATGAATTGTTGCAAGTTAAAGTAGAATATTTTAACTATGTTTTCAGGATCCAGCTTTCCCTTACTTTGAAGGAGATGATTTAAAGAAACTTATTCAAGAAGTAGCAAAAGCTAGAAGTTTCTTAAAGCAGGCAAAATCTTGGAGGTGAGTCTTTGTATTTTTTATTTCACGGAAGGAATACAAGAGTATCTGACTCCCAGTGTCTACTATATAAAAAATAGGATTGGAGTGAAAGACAATTAAATTGTATTGATCCTTATGTTTCTTCATTGTTATCCTTCCTAACTGACAATCCAGAACCAGAAAGCACTATTTCAATGGTAACAGTGGGCAAAAGCTCTAAAATGCAAAGAGCTCTAAAATGCATTATACCTCTTCAAACAAAAGGTTTTGTCATCCAAGGACACAGCTGAACAAAGGCACAAAGGTACTATGTGCCTCTGTGAAAAACTGCTGGAATTCTTGGGGATTTGTTTTTCTTTCAAACAGATTATTACTTGAAAAACGGAATACAAACCAAAAGGACAATTCCAGCTTTCAAAGAAGTGCTCAGGTAAATAGATCATAGTTTATACAGGGTTCATGTGTTTCAGTAGAAGGCTAATATTTTATAAGCCTAATGCTAAATGTATTCATTTTCAGCAGGGAGTTTTTCCAAAGTTGAAATAATTTGTAATGATTTTAGTTCTTAGCTGAACTGGTCCCCAGAATAACCCAGTATAACCACAGAACAGTTCAAAGGGGACAGTGTTTGAGGTGAAAGGAGTAAGGCAGGTGTGTGTTTGTAGTTATCAGTGGTCCAGCTCATTCTAAGAGTGAGCAGTTAAGCCCATTAGAGGGTTAGAACCAGATGTAATGGCTGTAATAACAATTGCTGCATGTGCTGCATGATTTATCTGTTAAATGAACAAGGCTGACTGAAAAAAGACCCCACTAATAGTAAAGAGCCTCAGCAAACATGGCACTGTTGTTACAGAGTGGTGGGAGAGGCAGCTGGGCAAACTAAACCTCTCCCAGAGCCAACCTCCAACCTGCTGCTTTTAAACTGGCAGAGTATCACAGGAAAAGAGAAATGACTGGGTGGAAGTACTTTCTCAGAGTTAAACAAGACAGAAGCATTTCCCACAGAGCTGTTTGAGGGAGAGCTGTGGACACACAGACAGCTGCAGAGAGTTGCACTACAGAACTTTGGTCTGCCAAGATATTCCTCAGGGAAATGGGTAATGCAGACATAGTGAGACTGGTTTTTAAATCCTTGTTTCTGTGGCTGTAGTTTGTATTTCCTTTTAAAAACATTGCCCAGTCATTCAAAGAGGAGAAAAAAAAATCCAGTCAGCCCCACTGGCTAAGAATGCTTGTTCATGGAGAGTGGAACCTGGAGCCTGGCCAGGTATGTGCAGAATTCAGCATTTAAGGGCTGATCACTCAAGAGAAAAGCTTGGAGAGGAAATGAATGTATAACCATCCTGTAGTAGCAAGGAAGTTGTTACAGGCGTACAGGGATAAACCTAATGTTCCACAACCATCTCAGTCTTTCAGCCTTCCAAGGAAAACTGTATTGCTTGTAAAGCATATAGGAATACATTCCTGTTAAAGTGCTTCAGAAAGTACATAGCCCTGGAGCACCATTAAACATGTAAGGAAACTTTCAATTTAATTTGTGTTGGTTTTCCATTGCCATTTTTTCAGGGCTGATGGTGAGCCTGTGCAGTTTATATATTTTGAGTTTTTAAAACTATTCATGTGCTTCACTTGTAGGATTAAATTTTAGATGAAGAAAAGATGCTGAAGAGGTTTGGAGTCAGACCACTAACCTGCTTCTTTTCAGAGTGTGCTCAAAGCTTCCAGCAGAAAGAGAGAAGATGAATTCTTTGTTGTCACGAGTGCTGGCCAGAGCAGTTGCAGGTGATAAGTGCTGCATTGACCCCACTTGCAGACTTTGCAGGACTCAAAGTAAATCAAGCCCTGAACTCTCCAAAGTTTCAGCATAAGTAGAGGATAGTTTTCAATATAGCTGATACAAATTTTAAAAGTGTATGTATTTCTAATATAATTAGGAGTTATACAGGGTTACAACTTTTGTTTCTATTCTACTGCATCATATTAATAATTTTTTCAATTAGTTGTTGGTATGTCCAAATTGTCTTTTTTTGGAAGTTGGTTTGAGATTTCGTTCCTGGTGCTCATTATGCCCAACAGATGGGATGGATGGCTGTGATATTAGGAAGAGAATTCTCTATGCCAGGTTTGCATAGAAAGTCCAAGCAATAACTTTAGTGCAGAAAACAAGCTTGGAATTCATGTTTTTGTCAAGAGAAGTTTGCTAATAATTATTTCTGCCCTTTGCTTTTTAAGTTGCCAGTACAGAAATATTTAGAGTTAATGATTCAGAAATGATCAGACATGCAAACAAGTAATATATAGTTGCTGATACAGCTTGGTTATGTTTGTGTAACCAGACACTGCTAGTCTTCTAAGCAATTCTGTTAAGTTCTTATGTGTTTCCTGTCTGGAAAGATTTAAAGTATGTTTGCCAGTACCAGCTGATTTATGAAATACACTTTTTTTTACTGCAAGGCTCGGTAATGACAACTCACTAGTATTTTGTAGTGTTTATTGTTGCCTTTAAGAGGATTATAAATTTATCTCAAGTGTTTAATATATGTAATATAATAAAAATGGATTCAGACTGCAAAATTCAGATACTTGATCTGCATTTATTTAAGAGCCATTTGCATCTCCTGAGTTCCAGCTGATGGGGATGACTGGATACACTTTGATATGGGAGACAGTCTGTTTTCTGTCCCTCCATCTCTTTTGTCTCTATAAAGAATTAAAAACTATCTGTGTCATAGAAGTCTCTTTTTAGTGTTGTATGCTCTGAACCAGGTGACTCCTGCATTCCAGGTTAGTCCCAGCCTACACTGGAATACTGCAGTTAAACTGGTGCTTTGTGCTATGCTGTACTTCCTGGGATTTTGGTAGTGTATATGTGGAACTACTGAGATGCTTTGATATGAAAATGTTAGTTGTAAATGAATAGGATTTGTTACGTTTCTGTTTGGAGTATAGAAATATTAGATGACAATCACTGATAAAATAAATGAATTTGTATTACGAAACGTTAAAACAGTAAATCCAGGTAGGAAGGATGAGTGTTCTGTATTGCCAGGAAGGGTTTCTTATATGTTCCTTGGAGGATTTGAGAAATGTCACAGTACTGCAGCATAGATTCTGATATTCTTACAAAGGTCCTTTCAAAGAACTTAAAAGGAAATATGCTTGTGCAGGTGTGGTAAATGATCTCAGAGGCTCTGTGTGAAGGAAGAGTGTCCTGCACATGTCCAATTTCAGTGGGTTCTGTTAAATTACAGTTGTCAAACCTCTCATTTTATAGCCTTTTTTCCCCCTGTGTAATACTTGGTGTTCAGATATTTTACTCATTCAAAACAATTCCATTTACATGGGCTCATTGCCAATGGATCTGTGTAATCCTGAGTTGTGGCAGCCTACACTCGTACTCATCACTCAGCTGATTGTTTTGGCTCGGACTGGTTGTTTCTGTGGGCAGAGCAGAGCACGTGTCTCTGGTTCTCTTGAGCTCTCACACTTAAAGTAGGTGTTAGGAACTGAGGAATCTTCTCTTTGGTTAGAATCTGTGTAACCCCAGAAGCTATAAAAGTCAGTATTTAGCCATTACACCCCATCCAGGGTGCCTGTGTTCAGGCTGTGCAGCCAAAGCCTTGTTGTCTTGGAGGCTGGTCAGCCCTGCTACCCACTCACAGCAGCTGCTTCCTTAAAATACAGATCCTGTCTCCTTATTACCCACCTGGAAACTCCCATCCTACCTGCTTCCATCAATCTGAGGGCTGCCGAGCCAGGAACACATTTTAAGGAGATGGTTCATTTGGGACGACCTGAGTAATGGAGTGCTCTGTGAGTGACTCCAGTGTCAGTCTGTCAGGTCTATGTCACTTGCTTTCCTGCTTTATGCTTCCTGGAATGCAATTCACTGTACTCAAGAGATAATAAAAGAGGAGTTTTATAATTGACCAAGATGCATACTTTTCTGCCAGCTCGTTTGTAAGTCATGTCATTGCTATGACTCACTGAATATGTTGATTTGTGTGCAGTGAATTAAAGACAAATGGCTAAACCAGTTGCCACCTCAAAGTATGTGTGCTTCCCCTATGAGAGGAGTGCTGTTCTCACAGCAGGAGTGGGTAACTTCCATGTGGAACAGCTCATCTACTGCCATAATTTACAGTTTCCAACTCCTGTGCTACATTGAACTGGTGCACACGCTCATAAAACCTTTGGATGGACTGGCAGTTCAGAAACTCCTTTGTTGTGCTTCAGGGGACAAAAACTTCCAGAAGAAGGGTATAGTAACAAATTCCTCCATCTAAAGATGCCTGAATTTGAGTCAACCCCAAAAATTGATTCTTCTCCAAAGGAAGGTAACGGCAGTGAGTGTTGTGTCCTTTGGAATTCTGTTCAGGAAGAATTGCTCTGTGCTATATTAGTATATTGCCTACTGTGAGCACATATCTGTAACCACAAGGTTCCAAGACTTTAGGCACCCAAATGTGTTGACAGAACTAAGTCACGGGAATTTTCGTTAATTGTTTTAAAGCATCTCAGTCAGATGTATATAGAATACTTTTCATTCCATTGAACCTCAGTCCTCTGAGAAACCATCTCAAACAGATGCATATGAGATGTTTGCTTATGGATTAGTTTAAATAAATAAATAAGACAGAGAGAGGAAGAAGGGAAAACAATTCCAGAAACCTGCCAGCATCAGAAAGCACCTTATTCCTTCCCTGTCTCTGTTACAATAATGATAATCTAGGGTTTAGGTAACTATACTGAATGCATTGGTGGAACTACTGTATGAGGACACTGGTAATCTCTCACTCATATCATGTGAGACTTCATCAGTTAGAGTCTTAAATTCTACCCAGAATTTGATAGGTAGTTTAGGCTGACCTTGTAAGCCACAAATTTACATCCTATGGGCTGCCTCTGTCGTCATGGCCACATTTAATGTGGTACTAAGGCTCTTTCTAAACAACTAGCAAATAACAATCTCTTCTAGAGGGTTTCTCCATTTTTATTTCCTACTTGGAAGGTTCTGCAGCTTTTGTTATGATTTCTGGGTTAATAACAACAATAGAGGTGAATGGAATTTTGCAAATGACACCTGGTAGAAGTTATGCCAAGGTTTTAACTATACCCAGTGGGCACAGTGCAAAACATCCTCCACTTCTGTCCATCCTAAGCCACCTCCCATGCCCTCAGAACTCCTCCAGTGGTTTTTGGGATGAAAGCAAACCATGTAATAGTAATGTTGATCTGTACTTCTCTCTAGTGAAACAACCATTAGAAAACCTTTGAATTAAGAGGAAACCTATTGGAATTGTTCTTATAGTCCTTTTAAAACCTGCATCTATATACTTCATCCCTGTGGCTTGTTTTCTCTGTGATTCCTGGGTGTAAGAAGCCAAGCTGTGATCCCTGCTAATTATATAGAAATCTGCCTTTATTCAGTACAATTTAATGCAGTATTTTTATTTATGATGCATTTGTATTCTTTCCCTTCAAATATTGCATAAACTGTTGCCTTTTTTTAACAAGACCTAAGAGCTGATAAAGGGATGTTCACTGCTGCTGTGAGAAGTTGTTTTGTTTCTTCCTGTAATTCCATCCTGACTTGGCAATGCAGGCTCACAGTTATCATTTCATTTGACCTGTAAATCAATCTGTGTAACATGCAAAGCAGCCACGAATGCAAAGGAAATGAGAACAAAGTCACGGGAAAAGCATTTTATATGACACATTCCAAGGCTCTATTTATGTGTGCTTTATTCCTTCCACGAGGAAACAGTGAAATATGCAGAATTGTAACTCAAATACACAAAGAAACAGGAAAAAGGAAGGAATAGAGACTGTTTATGTATGTTAATGAAGAATGGAGGGATTTAAGAAGAAGAACCTGATCTCTCAGCTTTGCAGCTTGGAATAAGGATCTGCATCTTCTTTTCCCTTCTGGTCTGGACTTAGAGCATGACATGGGTAAGTTGCTTTGCCTCTGTGTCTTACCCTTCTAACTTAGCAAGGAATGTGAAGAATGTTGCATTATCATAATACTTTGGGTATTAAATTACATCTGTTATTGCATTAATTGGGAAACCTTTTTTAAGGATGATGTCATGCCTTAGAAATATTTGATAGGTACCACTGTTTAGCATTGGGTTATATGAAAAATAAATATTAGGTTTCCTTTAATTCAGATACCATGATTTATCTTTTTGACCAAAACTTTTAAGCACAGCAAGACATAATTAGAGGAGAGTTTCATTCTTTTCCCTTTTTTCCATTAACATTGCAAGACATTCTGATTTAAATGCTTTTTAACATTTAAATGTTTCATCTTCTCTCAATGAAAGTGTGATTCCCTCACCATTGACACTTCCCTACTCTCAACTCTCTGTTGGTTTAGACTCAGTCCTTGCTATGAGGGTGACTGTTTTTGTAGTCACATTTAGTCAGAAGTACTCAACAGATCTGTCCAGACTTCTCTGGGGTTACAGAGGAGATCAGTGATGTGGTGCACTGTCCAAACAAGTCTCACCACTCTGAGTTCACAGATTGTGTCAGTACATGTGATGGGGCATCTGGATGTGAACAAGTGCACAAGGAGGTGTTCAAACACATGATGAGTTTGAACAACTCTGCTAATTTAGGGCTTAAATATAGAATTTTTAATAAGTCAAATGAAAAGAGGGTATTTTTATGCTGCAGTTATTTCAGCAAAATCCTATCCTTGAGTAGCTTTAAGAGAGAGCTTAGTTTCTGAAGCTTTTCTGCTATTCCCCTGCCCCTGGGCACTGCAGAACACCCCATCCTGCCTGTGACTCATGTCAAACATCCAGCTGTCACCTCAGCTCACACCTCTGCCGAGCTTTGCACGCTTTGGTACGTCTCTGTTAAAGGCTCTTTTCTGCACAGTATCTTCCACACAATTAAAAACCCTCCTTCAGGTTCCTGTTACCTCAGAGCTGGAGCATTACTCCTGTTCTGTGGCCTGGAAATGCAGAGCTATGGAGTTAATGGGACCTGCTGAGTGGAAGGGACAAAGCCCTGGTCTCACACATCTGTCTGGTACCTCTCTGTGACCCAGCACTGCCCACAGAACCAGCCCCGGGACAAGACTTTGTAGGCTGGAGACAGACACCCTCCTGTCTGTTTTAGGCCAAGTCCTTCTTACTCAATTCAGACCTGCATCTATCAGCATGTAATTTGAAATGAACTTGTGTAAGACAAACTCTCTGACACCTTCCTGTTGTGTTTTATACAGTCATCTCCTGCAAGTACTGCATGTTTTTTTTCTGTGTGCCTGCATGAACTGGGACTGGTTATAGGAGAAAAAGTAGAAAAAGGCAGTCTAGAGTTGTGATTCAAAAAGCAAGCTCAAATCTTAATGCAGCAACTTTTCTCCTTGTAACTTTAGCTTCTGTTTCTTTCAAAAATACTTAGAATGATGCATTAAATAAAATGTGGTCACCCCTCTTCACTGAAGTCAAGAGAATACAAAATAGCACTTTGAAAGCTCCTCTGAGGTGTCCCCTTCTGGTGGAACCAAAGCCAAGTTAAAATACTCCTTGTTGAATTTCACCAAGAAATGAGGGATTGATATCTATGAATAAGCTGACCAGCTGCTCTGACTTGTGGAGGAGTTCTGGAGTAGTTCAGGGCACTTTATTTCTTGCATTAAATGGTAAAAGCTCTCAGTGCTGTGGACAGCTCAAACCAGGGAATTTGGTGGTTTTGGGGTTTTACTCTGAGCTGGATTTGTCCCTCATCCAGCAACCCAAGAAGTGCAGATTGGTGTCAAAGGTTCTGGTTCTAATGCCAACTACAGGGACTTAAGAACATATATGTTATGCTAAAATATACTTGCCTAGGTGTCAGTTTGAGTTCTTGTCAGCACATGAACATTAAACTACATTTAAATTGCAAGGCCACCTGTGAACTTGAGATATTTCTAACATGCAAACATTGAAAATTGTAGTCATTTATATTTAGATGTGGGAGTGTTTCTTTAGCATCTTAACTACTGCTTTAAGACTTAATTTTAGACACACCCTTTTGAAAATGTTGGCTTTGATTTCTCATTGTTGAATTTGTAAAAGGATATTTGTTTTAAAAGGGCTTTAAAATCTTAGGATCAACGTCTATAATTGTTAATCATTTAATTAATTATCATTAATTTAAAATGTATTATTTAACAGTAAGTCACCTTTCCATGTTGTGTTGTCTGTGAGTTAATTCACTGCCTTCATTCATCTTGGAAGCCAGAGAACAACCCTTGTGCCCTCAGTTAAGCCTCTCTGCAAGTACAAAATTGGGTTGGGGATGAAGACAGAAGAGTGAGGATGGAAGTGCTGGGTACCACTGCCAAACTGGAGTTTTGTTTCTTCTCTAGTACAGTTTATCTACAGACTGGTGGTACCAATAGTGTATTTGTGTCACCTACTGTCTTATACTTCTACCAGGTAACATTAAGAGGGTCTGATGTGGAGAAAATATTCTGTTATTTTCCCAAAAAGGAACGTAAATTATGTACAAATTAAGCCCTGCCCTTTTTTGGCTCACAGCCCAGCCACCAGCTACAAAGGAGCAGGAACAGCAAAAGGGCCTGAGCACACATGAACATCTCTGTGCTGAGAGCACCTGATGCCCTGGAGTTACAAATTGTCCAGCAAAGAGACCTCTCCCCATCTCACCTGGCCAGGAAGGACTGGGACAGCTGACAGCCAGCATTCTACCAAGGGTACTTACTGCTTCTTTAGCTAATTTTAAAAACCTGAAATGTTTGACTCTAACTTTTTATGGGAAGTAATTTGTTCTAATATTTGAAGTGACAGCAGGGGAGCTAAGAGCAACTCATACTTCATGCACTGCCTGAGATGTAACTGCTCATCATGCAGAATACATTCATAAATCAGAATAGCTCCTATAAAATCAGAGAAAAAAAAATTACCTGTCTGGAAAGAAGTATTTTCTTAAAGAAAATTGTTTGTGTTCAAAATTTGATAACAATTTTCTAATTCCACGAAGCAGATTAATATATTAATGCCATTAGTGCTTTTTAAGAAAGAGATTTCTAGGAAAAAAAAATATCTTTAAACTTTTTTTGTACAACCTGTCTTAGTTAAAATGTAAGGAGGTATTAATTACAAGTATTCAAATATATACCATTTTTCAAATGTCTTTTTGTGGTATTTGTGATAAGCTTGACTTCAGTTCTCTTTATAGTGTATAAAAAGATGCTTTTTCTCAGAAGACCAAGGGCTTTATATGGCTTAAGACTACTGAACAATCTAGAGATGCAAATTTATGTTTCCTTGCTTGAACAGGAGAGCATACTTGTTTAGTTTTGTTATATTAGTTCTAATTTAAATTTTGTTTGGAAAGATGGATTCTTTTTTATTTTTGAACTGTCAGGATATTTTTCAACATAAGGAGCTTGCATTTTACACTTATTTTTTACACTAGTTTAGCTGTATATAAATGCCCTAATGAGAACAATATGGACAAGTTAGTGAGAGCTGGACAAAAAACTAAATGTATTTAGTGTATAACCAGAGAAACTTAAAATAGAAACAAATTTTTATCACTGCTGAAGAACTGTGACCCAAATGTGAAATAAAGTGAATTTTAAAAGTAGAATGCATCCTTTCTTATATTCCTTATCTAATGTGTTGGTTTATTTTCCTGACTAGTAGGGTGACATCTACTTGGCATTAATATGTCAGAAATCAGTGAGTTTTCAAGAATAAAATGTTTGATTAAACCAAGCTTTTGAAAATGTAATCATACCTGTTAAGGTTAGGTAATTATAATGGCTCTAAAGTCTCTTTATTTCTATATTATATGAAACTTCTGGGTATGAGGAAAAAACTGTATCTTGGAATATAAAAGTATTCAGACTTGTTACTCATTGTACATAGAAGGCCCATCAGCAAAATTATTACTGTACACATTTTAAACATGTTAAGATAATACAAATAGAACAGCCACAAAAGGGACATTGTAATGTGAAAATCACTGAAATTACCCAGATCTCAGTGTGTTGTGCAGGAATTTCCATGAGATCTTCTCTGTTGCAGTCGTGATGCCAGAAGGATCCCCAGCGGAGCTCCCCAGCAACCAGGAATGTGAGAGCCAAGGGAAGGAGCCTGCTGGGCTGCTGGGGAACAGGAGCACAAGGACAATGGTGACAGGAGGCGGAGGCTACCTGGGATACAATCTGGGCTGTGCCCTGGTTAGGTCAGGAATTGCTGTCGTTCTGTTTGATGTACGGAAACCGAAGTGGGAGATTCCCAACGGAGCCGATTTTTTCGAGGTACGTTGAAATCGTGTCTTTAACAGCAGTGAAGTAACGTTATCCTGCTTGTATGCACAGTGAGGCTTCCTCTTAAGGATTTAAAAAACATTTACTGAAAAGCCTTTGAGGACAAGAAGTCGTGGTAGAAGGTGCTCACATGCATAAGTAACTGATGAAGAGATGGCAAACAGAGTCCAGGGGAGTGTCTGTGTCCCCACTGACCTTCTGCAGTCCTGTGAGGGAGGTGCCCCCCACACTCATAGCTCACCCCCCTGAAACAGTGGAGTGACAAAGTTACTGCTCAGGGAATTATTTCAAGGAAAAGTTGAGAGACAAGGCAATAAGAGTGCTCACAAATGCAGAATGACTGCTGTGCAGAGAATGATTGAGGAAACCAGGATTTCCAGTCTGGGAAAGAGGTGACTTGGGAGCAGGAGGGCTCTACAAAGCGAGTGGCATTGACATGGATAGGGATTGACTGCTCACTGTCCTTCCTGGAACGAGAAGGGAAGGCCACCAGGGGAAATGAGGAGGAGTCAGTTCAGTACAAAGTGACGTTGTTTTTCGTGCAGTGGGTAAAGCATGTGCAAAGCCTCACCAAAAATTTACTTCCTTTGGAGATGACTAAATAGGTAAGCTCAATTAGGCTCAAGAAATCTTCTGAATGAAAATACTTAGAGACTAGAAGAGTGTTCAGGGGGAAAGTGTCACATATCCTTGCCCTGTTCATACTTTTTCCAGGACACTCATTTATTAGGTTTTGATTCTTAACAATTCAAATTGGTGGAGTGATGGCAATTTACATCTTCTAAAGGAGACTCAAGATCTCACAAATGATCTTCTACAATAGGGTTTTTTTATAATTCAATTTAAAAAAAATAAATATTACAAAGTATAGGTGAGTTACCTGGAAAATGGAACTATGGAGTCCTAGTAAATAAAGTAATAAGTCACTTCAGAGATCTGAGCCTTGATCAGTGATTTGGGGATTGTTAATATTGTTTATCCTCATTAGCTGCTTTAGCACTGGGTAAAGGGTGGGAAGCGTAAGTCAACCATATTTGTGAAACACTTTGCCAGACTCAGAAGAAAAAAGTTGAGAGTTAAAGACTGTTAGATTAGCTCTTAATATTACCTCCAGCTGTTTCTTTGGAGATTATTCTGTCAAGTTCATTAAAGTAACTAATATTTAATATTTTGAAATATTATATTCTGAAAATAAAAGTATAATATTTTATTAATATATGTATATATGTGGAGTATTATTAATATAGTATTACCTGGTATACAAAAATGCAATATAGTGTTCTAACCCCAGCATAGCATTTGATATTGGATACAGTGTGGGTTCAGTGATACACAGGATTTCATATGTGTGATTACAATACACTACTGTACACTAATAAAATATTCAATGCATATAGTGTGTACTGCTTTTTAAAATCTTGTACAAAGCTGTAATTGAAGTTATCATACAGTGCACCTAAAATAAACCTTAGATGGACAGAGACATTTGTGAAGACGGCACAAATCCCATCCCAGGGTGCCAAAAAAGGGGTTCTCTTATTTGGTGATTCCCAGCTGAACCCTTCCCGCTGTGGTTTATTGTCCCTGGGGCTTCATTCTCCAGCACTGGAGCATGTGCTGCTCCCATTCAAGTCAGACAAGTTCTGCCAGGCTGCAGGACTCAGGGTGAAAATACGCATTATAATCGAAGCCAACAAGAGTCGTGTTTGCTTTGCAGCAAAACACTGACAAAATTCTTAGTCACGGATTTTTCACCCTGTTTATAATGGGGTTTTTTAATGCCAGTTAAATACTGTGAAAAATAGATCTAAATATCTTTAGGTTTTCATTAACAGCCATAATTGATGTAATTCTATAGAGAATGTAAGCAGCTCTACCTGTCAAAAACTCATTCTTCTCTCATTTTCCAGGGAGACGTGAGGGATTATGATGCAGTGTTCAAGGCATGTGAAGGGGTTGACTGTGTTTTTCACGTGGCTGCATGTGGAATGTCAGGATTAGAACAAGCAAGTACCATTTTCCCAATGTTTTCTGTTGTTATTTTTGAGAAAGAAAAAATTGTCTGCATGTAGCAAAGAATGTAATTCTGTGATATTTATGTCAGACAGAGGTTGGTTAGAAAGGTCAAGTCATCCATACAGGCAACAAGGGAGGTATTCCTTAAATAATAAATGTCAAAGCATAAACCTAATGTACTACAAAATATTTTAGAAAAATGAGATCATAGTTTTAAGATCTTGGAGAAGAAGGCTTATCCTTTTTTTTTTTATGTTATCAAAAAAGTCATGAAACTACTCGTTTATTTCTAGAAACAAGACAGATTGCACTGGAACAAGACTTTGTAGAACCTTTCAGGGAGCATAACCCCCACCTGTAATTTTTGTTTCTGTATCATGGATTATCTGAGGAGGTGACAAAATGTTGAAGCATTATAATTTCATTTTAGATGCATTTTATCTTTCATTTTTCAACTGAACAAGACTAGCAAAATGAGAACTGCCAGAGATCCCTGTCAGACAGGCAGAGAACTGTAACACATCACAAAAAGGCCTCAGCTGTTCTACATCTGGCAATTGTAACAATCATATTGTGAATGTGACTTGTTCCATGAATCAAATCTTGTGCAAACTCTATTTCCAGCTTCAAAAGAAAGATCAGATTGAATCCATAAATGTTGGAGGCACAAAAATAATAATTGATGGTAGGTACCTCGCTTTTCTTTCTTTGCATCTGATTCAAACCTAAGTGTATTGTAAATACCAAAGCTACTTTCTCCTTGCTTTTCCCTCAAAAACCAAATGGCAAAAAAAATAATCAAAACTAGTTTTTATTTAGACCAAGTTTCATGCTGCCTGTGTGTTATTACTGAAAAAAAAAGCAAAATGGAATAGTAGGCAAATAAAATTCTATGTGAGTTAGAGGGAAGAGGTTCCCACATATTCCCTTTTTCCTACCCCAACCTCCAGACTCACAGAAACATGTCATGGCAAATTTCCATAGGCTCCCAGCAAAGCAAGAGTCTGGGAGGAGCATGAACCTGTTCATCTACATTTTAATAATAGATGTTAGTATTCTGTTTGGTTCCAAATATTTACAACACAATAATTTTATTCGTTATTTTCAAAAGGAGCCAACGACCCACCTGGACAGACAGCTCTGCAAATTCTAAAAATTCCTGACTTTGAATATTAATTCACTTAAACTTTAGAAATATTGTTAAATGAAAAGGAAATTTATGTTATTCAAGTTTGCAATGACATATATGCAGCAGAATTTAGCTATAATAACACAACTGGAATCTATAATTAAGGCTTTGTTTTGTAAATAACATTAATTTCATTTGCATTTAAAGCACTACTGATTATACACTGGCAGTGCTATACCACAACAAATGCTCTTACTCATGTTCTTTTTATTCCATTTGTAAAGTGAACGTGTTTTAAGAAATGTTTCTGAAGGAGGAATTTTTTCCCCACAAAGATTCCTCTGTCCAGTTGGTGATTGCAATCCAGTGGTGATATGATTAGTTACCCAATCATAAAACATCTGGTGACCACCACATGTAATATTTGCATAGCAGGTATTTGGGGTGAAGAATTCCATCTGAATGAAAGACAATGCTATATTAAATGATAATGTTAAAACTAAAATATTCCTTTTTTTGCTGTAATGTTTGCTTTCAAAAAGAGAAGCTGCCAGTTCATGTGTTATTTCTCACTCTTTATTTTTGTTTTAAAATAATTTCTTTTGTCTGTCATTGTAGTCTGCAAACAAAGAAATATCCCCAGACTGATATACACCAGCACAGTGAATGTGGTGTTTGGAGGGAATCCTATTGAAGAAGGAGATGAAGAAACTGTGCCGTATTTTCCACTGGAAAAGGTCTGTTGTTCATGTGATGGTGTGGATTTACTGTACTTGAAAGGGCAGATTGTGTGAGGCTGCTCTGAGGGAAGAAACTGTTTTACTGTAGGTCAAATTCCATTAAATTATTTTTCATTCATGTAAATTGACCCATGATCAATGAAGAAATAATCAAATCATAATGGCTTTTGGAATTTTCCATGGTATATTTTCCAATATAAAATCTGGCAAGACAGAATTCAACAGATAACTAGTCTTGTGTGGACAGGTAATCACTAAACCAGCATGTACCAACTGTGTCCAGAATCCTATTGTTTAAATACACATGGGTGCAATTTTTAAAGTTCACACTGAAAGATACTATTTGGGAGAGAATGATTTATAACTTCCCACATAACTTCAATAAGAAATGGAACTGTTTTTTGGAAAGTCTGAATTTTTAATTTCATATTTAACTTACTGTTTTTATAAAACTTTTTTCAATTCAAAAAGGATAATTTGAAAAAATATCTGTCCCACCAGAACATTTGGCTTGGGAGTAATTTTTTCTGTACATCCAGCGCAAAAAGTGAGTGAAGTAAATACTGGTGTACTTAAATTCACTCTGAAACTAAATTTGTGCCTCTAAAATATAAGTCTGATAAGTTTTTTGTCATAAAGTATATATTTGCTAAATCTTGTTATTTCTAATTGTGTTTTGCTCAGCTGATATCTAGGAGCTGGCTAGATTGAAATGTTATCAGTCAAAAACAGTAAGTTTGCCTCTACAGATGCAATAATGTGATTTAAATGATTGTATTCTGCCTTTCTTTATAGCAATTTAATCATTATTCTAGAACCAAGGCAATTGCAGACCAAATGGTTCTTGCTGCTAATGGAACTTTACTCAAAGGTACGTATAAAGCATTTGGGGTCTTCCTATCATTAGTAGTGCTAATGGGTTTTGTTTTCTCATCTATCAATAAGTAGAGGATTTTAACTGAAGTGAGGATTTATTTTGTTGCAGGTATCTGGCAGGAATAGCAGCAGTTTCTTTAACAGATTGGCAATATCAGGTGACTTCCAAAGTTGCACCTGCAGGAATAGTTGTGACTAAAAATCTATCTGTACATGGCAGGGGAAATTTTTAGATACATATTTTGCTATTCCTACTGATTTCTCTTAACTGCTAAGTTGGCAAACATAAATTAGGTGGGGATTCAATTTTAGCATCCTTGATTAACTCCTGAGCAAATGCCTACCCCCTGTTACTCTTGGCCAGATAAAAGGTGTCATTGTGCCTGTTCTCAGGGGCCAGAGGGGTCTGCTGAGTGATTCACTGGTCAAACTTATTCATTTTGATTTAAAATATTCAAACTCATCTGAAAGCCTCTGTTTAGGAGACCTCTTCTATTCCTTTGTGGTGCCCCTGAGCTGCAAGGAAGCCAGGTGTCTGGATGTAGCAAATGGAATGATCTACTCCCAGTGTTGCATGTGTCTGCAGGGATAGACAAATATAAGTTGTAAACTTATCTCTGTAATAAACAGCAAAAGCCAAACAACCAGGAGGAAAGCTTGATTTGCCCTGTTCCTAATCAAACTCTTCTGTGGGATTTGGCTTTTCAGGCTCCCAAGCTCAGGCCTTTCACAGCTACTGAATTCAATTTTATAGGGAAATGAAATCCAGTTCCCAGGAAACCGAATCACACAGAATGGTCAGACTGAGCCTTTATTTTGATAGTGTAAGATTCAGACAATATATGTCAGCCATGTGTTGATATCCAAGCTGTCTGAAGGTCCCCTGTTGTTCTCTCTCCCAGGAGGGGACAAGCTCCACACGTGTGTGCTTCGCCCCCCAGGCATCTACGGACCCGAAGAGCAGCGGCACCTGCCACGAGTAGCCGTATGTGTTTTGTAGTCAGCTCTGGAGGACACCACAAGTAGTTGTAAGGGCATAACACAAGTGGAAGTACCTTGATTGCAGTTCTTAACCGTTGCTCCAGGAAGGCTGTTGTGAAAGCTGGGTGACAGGGGATGTGACACAGAGTAACAGACAGCACAGACTGAGCACTGCAGACACGGCCAGGATCACCTTGCAGTGAAAATTAAAAAATGCAAGGCTGAAATGCCGTGGTAAAAGAAGTAGGTTTGCATCCCTGATCGTTTAATGGAAATGTTGACTTCTAAATATGCACTTTAATTTCTGCTAAACACTCTAATGTCACCATATTTGGCCACTGCCTATCAGTGCAACAGTCTTTGATTCATGAAAACACCAACTAGTTTTTTTTCTCCCTGTGACACATTTCTTGTGCTGTAATTGTACACAAATACAGCAAACTCTGAGTATTTGGGCTGAGATAAAATGAATGTTGTACTGCATAATAAAGGAGTAACATAGTTATCACATGTTTTCTGTTTCTACAGATAAACATCCAGCGGAGACTTTTTAACTTCAAGTTTGGGAATCACGAAGTTCAGATGAACTGGGTTCACATAGGAAATCTAGTACAAGCTCACTTACTGGCTGCTGAGGCTCTCACCTCTGAGAAGGGTTATGTAGCTGTAAGTAAACAATATAATAACTGTGTCCCAGTAGCTTTAGCTCTCAAATAGGTTTAATTTTTGATATTTTGAGATCAAAGGGTCTCCAAAAAGTCATATGCTAAATTCTCAAAAATGGTGTGTGGCTCCAGAAACACGTGGACAGTGCAAATGCAAACACATTTGGCTCATGTTTTTTTCTGGTTTGAAAATATATAATTTCCTGGTTTATTGGAGGAAACAGTATTTTTAACTACCATAATATATTCACCATCATACATGGGGTTACCCAAAACTGTGTTTGAGAGCACAGTGAAGTGCAGTGCAGGCAGTTTGCTGAGCTGCTCTGTGTACATTCACTGTGTTCGTGCCGGTGTGCTACTCACAAAACCAAGACATGGGTAGGTATGAGAGAGAAAGGAATGCCATCCTATGTATAGTGTTTTTCTAACTGTTTTTCTCTGCTTCTTTAACAGAGTGGTCAGGCATATTACATCCACGATGGTGAAAATGTGATTTTCTCTGAGTGGATCGTGCCCTTGGTACGTGTTCAGCTCAGAGGCACCTCACAGGCTCTGGCCCTACTGCTGGCTAAAAACCATACAAACTAAATGAAGTGCAGGGCATATTAATTACTGAATGACTTAACCTCAAACTCAGTCCTGTTCTCCCTGCATGTCCCAAAGTTCCACTGGCTTTCAGGGAAGTTTTGGCTATGTATAAGTGTGGAATTTGGCCTTACTGTTTTGAGATAATTTAGCCAAGGTACAGAACCTGCTGCAGAGCAGCAGCATTTCTGTGGAGCAAACTCACAGTGCAGGGCAAGCTCTGCCACGAGCATCTGGCAGGTTTCTCAGAGCCATTGCTGATCTCTGTCCTGCCATCAACTGCAGCACAGAAGGGAATTGGAATTCCCTTCATTCAGAATCTTATCTTAGAAGCTAAAAAGAGGCAACATTATATTTTCATAAACACCAAGCTGGGATTTCAGGAGCATGCCAAAGTTTTAATCCTGCAACGCCAACACAGAGAATTCCTCTGGGAAAATTACTGCAGTAGAACAATGGGCCTGTATTTAACTGTAGGGAAGGATTCCAGCCTGGGTCACTTGCCCCTTGGAAAAGCCTTGTTCCCCCTTTGCTATCCAATTGCATTTGAAGGGTGGAAGGTGGGCAGCAAAGAATGAGTAGTGGGTTTCAATTGCATTTCTTACTACCAGTATTGATAGGAAGACTAGCTGGAAAAAATTTTAGATACATGTTTTATCAACATTCCTTTTTTTTTCCTTCCATTTTCATGCTTCATGACATGCTCAATTTGGTACAAGGTCTCTCTTATTCTTTCCTTTTATACCCTTTCTAGTTTGAAAAATTAGGCTACAGGAAACCCTGGATACATATTCCTGTTCTCCTGGTTCATATAGCAGGTAAAAGAAATAAAATACATTCTTAATTACTGTGGACTGTATTTTTTTTTTTTATTCCTAGAAAGCTCCATAGTGGTTTTATAAAATGATGGGACTCAAACTGTAGGAATTATGTAACTTAAATTATTCCAATAAATAATAATCCCTTGTGCCATTTGGCACTAATTACTAGATAAATTTTAAAGGCTATTCATAAACCGTGTCCATCATGTACTTTATAAGTTAAACCCTGCCTTCTACCACCCTAATTGCATCCTCTGATATCAGAAGGAATTACAGGATGTGCAATGTCAGCACTGTCTCAGTTTATTGTTATCCAGCCGTCTGTCTCATTAATTAATTTTGTGTTTCACAGCCACTGTGATGGAATATCTGCACCTGATACTAAAGCCAGTTTTTAGCTTTACACCTTTCTTGACAAGGAATGAGGTAAATATATATAAAAAGAAAGAATGTTTATATATTTCTGACCAAAACTCTCATGAAGTCTGTGATATGCCCTTTGGATGCAGACAGGATTCTCTGCAGTAGAGTTCTGTTTGCTGTTCTGTTTCCACTGTAATATCATTGCCAATGTATTTTCATCCAAGTTCTAGAAAATCTGATATTAAAGTCACTTCCAAAACTGTCCTTTTGGGTTTCAGGTGTGGAACGTTACTGTAACTCACACGTTCCGAATAGACAAGGCACGAAATCAACTTGGTTACAAACCAAAGAAATTCTCATTCGCTGATTCTGTGGATCATTATCTCAAAACAAGACCTACTTGCCAAGAAGATCACACATTCCTTAAAATGGTGTTTGTTTTTGGCATTATGTTAAGTTTGATCATTCTTTCTTTCTTCTGAAATCAAGTAACTCCCCACCTGTTCCAGAAAACCTCGTTTTATTTCTGAGTATTAATGATCTGGTCACGGTACATTCCTCAGCCACCATGGACTTTGTTATTGTTATTACTATGGTGACACCTCTCTGACTTCCTTAAGAAAGAAAAAAAAACAAACAAAAAATAATCACAAAAGTGAAAACATGGGACACATCAGGAAATGTTCCCCTGGAACAACAGTGTCACAAATCAAAGGCGTTCACCACTAACAGGTGCAGGAATAGTGTTAATGGATCTTCATTAATTGATTGCTTCATGCTGAGAGGGATTTTCTAGGAATGATAACTCAGGAGGGTGAGAAGCTGGAAGAAGAGGAACCATCATAGGACTGCAGTGCTGCCACAAGTCCAGCAGCTCCAGTGAAGAAGGGAGTGACTAAACAACTCCTCTGATGAAGCTGCTGCTACAGCTACTGTCTGTAAGTCTGAGGAATTATGGAGACCTGGGAAATAGGAAAAAAATATGGAAAGCAAATATTTATAAATAACAGGTGGTGAGAGGACTGAAAATTGTATTTATATAAAAATAATTTTATTGTTCAAAAGCTTTGTAAAAATGTAGTAAATAATATTATATGTGTTTGTAAATCAAATAATGTACATTCAAAGCAACAATAAATAATAAATGAACCAAATACTGTTTTTAAAGAGCTTCTGGGAAGGGGGAGGAAGGATACTTAAGATCTTGGAGTTCAGCAAGGTGTTCCTGCTGGAGTCATGTTATCCGCAACCCTGTACCAGCGCTGGCACACGCTGTGCCTTCAGAGAATTGCCATTTGGGGGTGAGCAGGCAAACCAAGCACCAAGACATGAGGGAGAATCCAACCTCTCTCTTTTCCCCCTTCTTAAGGCTTATATTTGTTGCTTATTGGGTGGATTGTACTGCCTGAGCTACATGTGCTGGCTCTTATTTGAGTCACTCCTGCTCTAACAAAACTGCAATGTGTCTTTAAATGATTAAAATTTAATATGAATGTTCAGACACAGCATGGCTGTAATAGAAGAGGTAAACGTGTTCAAAGCTTAATTTTTGCCTGGAATGGGTAACTCTCAAATTCTGCAGCTCCTGACCCATTTCCCATCCTCCCAGGCTCGAATGACCACAGGGACCCACTGCCAGCTCAGGTGGTCAGGGCCCTTAGTCAGTGCCTATTTGCTTATGATTATACCCTCCTCCTTGGGAATTCCTGCTGTTTCACAGGTGTCTTTGATGGTCTGCACCTCTCTGAGCCATGTCCTGCCACCAACTGTCCAACCGCTAAGTAGGAGGTGCTCTTTTTTTTCCTCAACAACCCGTTCAACAGGTGTCTCAGTGTGGTCCGAGGCGTCACTACCAACAGGATGCGAGTGAAGACACTCGGAGGTAAGAGCCACCCCAGGGTGCTGTGGGATGAGCAGAATCTCAGGGGTGCTGTGGGTTGAGCAGAATCTCGGGGAGGTTGTGCGATCCCAAAGATGCTGCCCAGGTGAGCGGGGCCCAGGGGTGCGGTGGGACCCCAGAGGGCCTTCGGGAGCCCGGGGGTG